AACAGCACTAGCAGAAACCAATACTCTTTAGAGAAGTTTGTGAGCCCGTACGTCACTCAGATCAGCAGAAAATACTGTGAGGAGGAGTTCATCTTGGATACCCCAGACATTATTTCTCAGATCAACAGCTACAACAAGGAGACGCTAAAAGGCGCTTCTAGAAACTTGCAGCTCTTTACTCTAGACGTGGCAGCATTATATCCTAGCATCAGGCCTGAACTAGCGCTTACTGCTCTTCAGGATGCCCTCAATAGTGATACCAACTTCCCACAAGAGCTAAAAGCGGCTTTGCATGAGTTCACTGACCTGATTTTCCGGGAGTCCTTTGTCACTTATCAGGGAGATGGATACATTAACAAGGAGGGTATCCCGACGGGAAATTGCATCTCAAGACAAGTGGCAGATGTGACGATGCATTGGCTATTGTTTAAACAGATCAAAGGAAAGATGAAAAACTTGAGTTTGGTAGACCTCTGGAGGAGATTTATTGATGATGTACTTGGGGTGTAGTTAGGAACAGTCCGACAGTTCAACCTATTCGTGGTGCAACTGAACAAACTGGCAGAACCATTTGGAATCAGATTTGCTGACCAACAAATCGGTAAAACTGTTAATTTCCTTGACATCACTCTAACCTTGGATACTTACAACCAGATCCAATATAGACTCTACAGGAAGGAGACAGATGCTAGGAATTACTTGCGAACGGATAGCTTTCATCCTCACCATGTATTCAAATCTGTGGCGTTTTCCCAGATGATACGAATCATAGAAAGGAACTCGCAAGACTCAACCTGTGTAGTAGACTTGATGGAGCTGAAAGCAGATTTATCTAAAAGCGGACATAACAGCGTTAAGTTAGAGGAGATCGAGCCGAGAGCAGTTGTCAGAGTACTGGAGAACACCCACGGAGCCAACAGGTCTAAGGATAGTGAGAACGCGGATAACTTAGTCTTTTCAGTACAACACTCTTCGGACAACATTCAGCTGAAGAAGTTGATTCACGAACTTGGACCGGACATCAGGAGGATATGTGGACATTATATACGTGTGATATTTGCCACACGAAAACATCCTTCAATCGGGAACAGGGTAGTGAAGAATCGACAACTTGGAAATAAGGCTGAATGTCCCCAAAAAACATCACAGAAGTGCTCAGCGGTCAGCCCCTGGATGCAAGACTTGCCCGGTATTGTTCGATTTTGACTCTAAGATCATGGTAAACGGCATGGAGCTTAATCTAGACGAATCCCTCACGTGCAAAGATAAGCACATTATTTACGTTGCACAATGCCAGCAGTGTAGAGCTATTGAGGGATCTGAGGACACTTACTTTGGGCAGACGTTGACTCCATTCCACATTAGGCTCAATGGGCACCGGAACAAGTTCAACATTGACGACCGTGCCCTCTACGAGCACTCAGCTTTATCAATGCATTGTTACGATGTACACAAGGACACTTTCAGTTTTGACTGTTTCAAATTCGGGATTGTGAAAAAGACTAAACCTTCCCTATTAGATTGGGAAGAGGCTAGATTTTGTGCAAAGTTTAGGACCAATGTTTGGGGTTTAAACAGGATGGAAATACAAAGATAGTTTTTTGAGGTTTTTACCAATATCTGTAATTTATTAATTTTACCAATTTTGTGCCAATTTTGCGTCATTTTTCTTTATAAATTTTATCTACCATGCTGACAGTGAAACAATTTGATCGTATTCCAATTTCTGATCGACTTTCATGATATTCTCTAATCATGACCTTTTTATAAATTTTTGAATCTCTTTGACTGAGTATTATGATTGACTTTATCTGACTAATTTATTTCTTTTTTGTAGGCTCTAGCGATGTATTAAACGAAGTTTCCAAGCCAAATTTGTGTGTTTCCCTTCGTGTCCAAAATCAATCATACATGACTTATACTAGTAAATTTCAATAACTCGCTTTCTAAATCTCTCTTAAATATTGAGCAGACGCATGCAAGATTGACGTGTGTCCACTTAAATATTCCCATTGTAAGATTGCTGTTTGTGCCAAGTGTGAAGGAGTACATGTTTATCCGTGCCATTTTACTGACACCACGGCATCAACTTGAACGCTTTAATGGCCTCCAAATCAGAATGAAAAAATAAAAAATTGGCCAAGCAATAGGAATATTAGTGCCCACAACTTGGACTCCCAAGTGGTGTCAAAAACGCGAATTAAATAGGTAATAATCATTTTAGTCTCTCGAGTCTTGACACCACTTTAGGGTTAAACGGGTTCCTGCTAGTTTTGAGAAAGGATGTATAGACTTGAAACAGCACTAGCAGAAACCAATACATGACCTAGTAGTAAGCTTTGACTAATTAAGATAGAGAAGGAAAGATATTCATAAATATTGAGCAGACGCATGCAAGATTGACGGGTGTCCACAATTATATATTCCCATTGTCCCATATTCCCAAACTGTTCGTCATCGAGCTTTGAGTCGTCTCAATAGTTTTCGACCCAAGACCCTGCTGGGGGCCGCGCTCACAGACCCCTGCCGGAGCAGATGGGTTGGACGCGTCCACTCGCTTCGCTCGCCGCGCCGAGGCCCCCCCCCCCCCCCAAAGAAAACTCCTGGCTACGTGCGTGATGTATACTTAAAGTTAAAACAGCATTAGCAGAAACCAATACATGACCTAGTAAATTTCAATAACTCGCTTTCTAAATCTCTCTTAAATATTGAGCAGACGCATGCAAGATTGACGTGTGTCCACTTAAATATTCCCATTGTAAGATTGTTGTTTGTGCCAAGTGTGAAGGAGTACATGTTTATCCGTGCCATTTTACTGCTCCTCGATGGTAGTATATGGTTGCAGAAAGAACAATTTTGGTTCTAGTCAAAGCATCACATATCCATCACCGTGCTCCATTTTGCTAGAACTGGTGCGCTACTAAAAGGGAAAAGGATTAAATGTTCCTTTGTTATTTTTTTTATGATACCTTTTTTTGTTCCAACTCCTCCGTCTCCATTTTTTCACGATTGAAAAGCACAACAGCTTCATAAACGAGACGAAATGTTTCACCAAATGTGGAAAAACTAAAACTTTAACTTTTGCTTCCACCCCAATTAAACCTACAAACAACCCATACTTCAATATATTGGCGTGATTGATGAAACATAACATGTGCTGGCAAATCATTCATTCCCCATGTCATTTTGGAACAATCATTAATACAAAATTTGTGGTAACTTACCGTTTTACAAATCAGAAATCGACCTAGAAATTAAATTTGGTGATGGAAATGAATTTATGAGAAGAGTTGATTTACTAATTGAGATACTTTAATTACCAAAAAGTGAAATAGGCCGCCTGAGACCTGAGTTTAATAAATCAATATCTTGATCTTCACTTCTGAAGAAGTCATAGTACAAAATACGTAAAAATTCAAGGTATCGAATAAATTTAATGAGCATAATGATAAATACCCGCTGATTATCTTATCATAACCGTTTATACACGGTTATTTTAAAACATTTTACATTTTATGCTATTGTGTAAAATTGGTATTTTTTCGTAGATTCCAGAAATTTCCACGGTTCACTTCTTCGAGTGAACAAGTTTTTCTTAGGCACGTGGTTCTGGCATATTATGGTTATCGGACAGAATGAGGTTTAAATCACTTTACATCTTTAGATCTATCGAGTAGTGGCAACATTTTGCAGCCCAGTGGCGTTTTGTGGGCGACTTAGAGGTGGCGGCATGTTGCCAGCATTGTGGTATCCTTTGTATAAATTCTTCACTATCTCTATGTTCGTAGAAATATTTCCTTTACCCTCATGAGCTGTTGTCCGTATAGATTGTTTTAACAATTGATAAATGTTCTCATGGTTCCAAATCTTATGATTCAACAAATTAACTCCTAAAGTCCTAACTAACGCTTATGCCTAACTAACCTTATGCATAACACATTATACATTATTTTATTTCCTCATCTTTTTTTTTGTTGTTCATCTTCTCGCACAATTAAGTCATTACATTACATCGTCATTAAGTCACCGTCATGTGAATGTTTGCAGCTTTCCATACATTGATTGGGGTGTCTAGTGGTCAAGTTTATGTCTAGTGGTCAAGTTTTATGTGTGCGGTGTTACAGGTGCAGTGAGTATGAGTGTGACTCTTATTCCATGAGGTCCACATGTCCAATCAGCGATTTGGTAACACCTGATTTATTTTCTCTCCCTAACAATATCATCTCAAGTTACATTTAACAAGAGAACAGAGAGTTCATTGTAGCTGTTCGCAGCGGTACGTGTATTTCCCTGGTGATTCTAAACTCTTATTCCAACGTTATCACTTATCAGTCGCCATAACTAACCTGATTAATATAACTTATCAACATCCATGGATTTTGAGCAGCCTCCAGGCCTCCTTGATTGAATTATTTTGACGTTAGATCTTTAAAAGTTTACATGAGCCTCTCACCATATTTCTATATCATACGTCTTGACGTATAATAACAGAATTATTTAATAAAACAATTATTTACTTTTACGGCACAATCAAACAATATCAATAATATATAATTCGATTTGTTTTGCAAGTGTCGATAAGATGCACAATTCCCTTGCCAGCAGGAGAGAGATAACATAGCCCGTTGCATGCCCTCCAAAATTTGATTAATGACCGGCGAGAAAATCTGCCCTTTAATTTCTACAATCATTCTTTCCAAATAACATATTTCTTTATCACAATTTATAAAACGTTTTTATTTTATGTCTTAGATGAATAACACATCACAGCTTTATTTGCAATAGTCGTTTTCATTGTACTTCTATTTATAGTCGTTGTTCATTTCAATAAAATTTAGACACGTGTCTATTAGTACTACTACTTAAATAGCCAAAACATAGAAAAGACCAATTCTCTGAAAATTGGCCAAAAAGTAATTACGAAGTATGACGACCCCTAACATTTTTATGGGGCACTTTGATCACAGCTCCCTACGAAGAAGAATATTTTTATTATTGTTTATTATTCATAAATATTCTTTCCAGACCATGTTACGGTTCGCCCTGCTCGGAGCTGTCTTGATATGTGCAAGTCTTGTTGTGGGCAGGTGATTTTTTAGTGTAGATAAATTATTTTATAGTGTAAACGATCAATCATAATATTTATTAATGTTATTTGATTGTTGGGGACGAAGTTATCAGAGTCTCCCACTCACAAGAGCGAAAAAATGTTTATTTCTTCATAGTGTTTAAACATAATATGATTAATACGATGTAAATTTATGTAATATCCTACTGAAGTATTGAGATTGTAGGCTCATGCTACCCAATCGTGGATTTACCACTAGGTCCCCACTTGAAGAAGTGGGCTGTTCATAAAACATGCTAATTCCATGCTAATCCCATGCTAATTACATGCTAATTACATGCTAATTACATGCTAATTACATGCTAATTACATGCTAATTACATGCTAATTACATGCTAATTACATGCTAATTACATGCTAATTACATGCTAATTACCACTACTACTAGGTCCCCACCTGAAGAATTTGGCTGTAGATATAACATGATGGTCCTGAAACGTGGACAGAAGGTGTACAATGGATGTGAGACATGCAAATGCCAGAAGAACGGTAAGTAGATGATAATATAGGCTCTTGTTAATATCAATTAAATATTAATTACTTGCTAATTACGTGCTAATAACATGCTTATCACATGCTAAAGTGCTAATTAAATGCTAATTGTATGCTAATTACATGCTTATTGCATGCTAATTTGATATAGGCTCATGCTAATTACATTTTTTTTATGTTAGCTTTACAGCTTTCCTTAGGTGCTTCAGTATATAATATATATATATATATACAAATGCTCGCAGCTAATTGAGTAATTGTTCCATTTATCCAAATGTGTCAAAATCATAGCTACATGTTCTCAACTGAAACCACAAAAAACCTCTAATTTTCCTCAGGAGAAATGAAATGTAGTGAGGGAACTATCTGTTGCCAATACCTTGACAAAAAAGGAAAGACTAAACGAGCTGCCCCTGGTGACTCCTACAATGACGGGTGTAACCAATGCACTTGTGGAGAAGAGGGCGGTATGGGAGCTTGCACCCGGATGGCATGTCCTGATAAATGTGCCTACAAGAACTGGGATTTGATCTCGGGGTATGCTAAAAAGGGAAAGGTTAATGCTTACGACGAGGAGGAAGACTGTCCCAAGCAGTGCAAGTGTAAGTGAAGAACGGGCAGGCAACTCTTAAGTGCAGTAAAGAACCTTGTGTTTATTTCTAAACCATGAAGTGTAAAACGCCTTGTGTTTATTTCTAAACCAAGTGTAAAGCACCTTGTGCTTATTTCTAAACCAAGTGTAAAACACCCTGTGTTTATTTCTAAATATTGTAGCGATAAACAATTTTAATCGTATTGACGAAAAATATCTCTCCTGTAAAGAATGAACAATATTTTTTTAACTAATAAAGAATGAAGAATTTGAAAATGTGTAACGTGGCACAGTTAGAAATATGTTGATAACTTTTTTTAAATATGTAATATGATTTGTATGGTTAAAATTGTATTTTTGATTTACTATAATCTTATAATATAACATGATAAACTTTCAGTTGACTTATACAAATTAAATCTTTCGATATGATTTTTTTGCACTCACCATTTTAGTTAGAAGTTTAATTCTGTAGACGAGTAAATTAAACGACTCTAAAATGTCAATAAATGTATTACAAAATTTCATTTCCAGTTTGGACAGTCTGTCAGTCTTTGAATAAATTAGTATTAGTACCAGTACCAGTACTTAAAAAGTTATTAACAAAAATAAAATGGACGTATAAATCAAAAGTGTTCGTTGTTGAGCGCAAATCCGATTCCCACTCTGATTGTATCCATATAACTGTGCTTCGAAGCATTACCTCGAGTGTGCCGCAATCCCCAAAGCGATATTTGGTTCGTGCCCGGATGTTGCCCCAACCGTGCCCCAACCGTGTATCGACTGATAACCGAATATCTAACAGGGTACATTCTTCACGTGTGTCATGGGTCAAGAGATAGGATTCAATTTTTTTGTGAGAGAAACGGAGGAAGAGAGAAAAGGAAAGATCAAGAGGTGTTTTCTTTCTGATGCTGGTTAAAGACTAAAGAGCACGATATATAGTAATTTACCTCTGCAGCTTAAAAATTGTGTCTAAACTCGAAAGTAGGATACGTTGAACCAAATATAGTACAAGTAAATTTATATATATAATTATTGTAAGTTTGAAGAAGAAAAACAGTTTGATAATTCGGCAGAAAGATTTGCCAGTTTCGATATAAACTATACAACGATCTGATATGTTCTACAAAAACTACGCAATAAGTATAAAATTAAATTAATCGAACACTTCTGAAACTTATGGTTATAAAGTAGACGATACAAATACTTAATTTGACAAAGACATAATTCTAAGTAATAATAACAGTGTCTAAAAAATTATTTTAGAATCTAATTCCATAAAAATGTGTAGCCTGATGAAAAATCAAATATAACCCCAACAACAACAACAAACTAATTAACAGAAATCAACAGCTTAATTTAAATTAAATTCTAAATAAAACACCCTTAGCATCAGTCACAATGTTAAAACAACCTCATCCTCTCGTCCTTACACGATTAAACAATCGTCAAATTAATCAATTAAATTTAATTAATTAATTAGATATTTCCATTTTCCTCGGACTTAGCAGGGAATGCTGTATCATAAGTATGATCATCAGTGTCCTTATCACTAGCAGCGGCTGCATTCTCATACACGTTTTCCGTGTCCGGAGTAGCGGCGGCAGTGGTGGCGCCCTTATCTTTAGCTGGAGCGGTGGCGGCGGTGGTGGCGGTGGAGGAGCTGGAGGCCACCTTGGTCTTCAGTCCGAAGGTGGTTAGCCAGTGGTTGGTGACCTGTTCGTTCAGGACTACGTAGAAGAGGAACACGCAGATTCCCTGAAATTTGTGGTTGTTATTCAAGTTGTTAAAATTAAAGAATTATTTATTATTGTCAATTAAGCAATTAGGAGGATATAGGAAGTTAAACTTAAAAATGAATAACCTGAGATGAATTAAGGAGGATGAAGATGTACTGGAGCGTTATCTGAGTGCTAGGTTCTGGAATCGTCATGAATACGCCGATCAGCCAACCAGTGCCGAGTAATGCCATTACTCCCACTGCTGCCTTTATTTGTCTCTGGAATTAAACGGGAATTAAACGGGAATTGAATGGGAATGAATGAATTGGGGCAGTATTAAATGTTCTGAAACTATAACTTGTAGAGTTTAACCCAGCTTGCTATGATGAAAATTGTCATTATTAAAACAGCTATCTAAAAAAAGTTATTGTTACTCACCAAAAGTAGCTCGCTCTCAGTAGCAGTCGCACTTTTAGATTGCTTGATGACCCTCAGCACCAAGATGAAGAAGACAACGTTAAGAAGGAGCGCCAGCATCAGAGGCAGAAAGAAGAAGACCCAGAAGGGAATACCTCCGGGTTTTAGAAAACACCTGAAACAACACGTGTTAAAGTTAGTCACGTGTTAAAGTTAGTCACGTGTTAAGTTAGTCACGTGTTAAGTTAGTCACGTGTTAAGTTAGTCACGTGTTAAGTTAGTCACGTGTCAAAGTAAGACACGTGTTAAGTTAGTCACGTGTCAAGTAGGTCACGTGTTAAATTTAGTCACGTGTTAAAGTTAGTCACGTGTCAAGTAGGTCATGTGTTAAAGTTAGTCACGCGTTAAAAGGTTAAAGTTAGTCAAGTGTTAAGTTAGTCACGTGTTAAAGTTAGTCACGTGTAAAAGTAAGACACGTGTTAAGTTAGTCACGTGTCAAGTAGGTCACGTGTTAAAGTTAGTCACGTGTTAAAGTTAGTCACGTGTTAAAGTTAGTCACGTGTTAAAGTTAGTCACGTGTTAAAGTTAGTCACGTGTTAAGTTAGTCACGTGTTCAAGTTAGTCACGTGTTAAAGTTAGTCACGTGTTGAAGCTAGTCACGTGTTAACGTTAGTCACGTGTTAAAGTTAGTCACGTGTTAAGTTAGTCACGTGTTAAAGTTAGTCACGTGTTAACGTTAGTCACGTGTTAAAGTTAGTCACGTGTGAAAGTTAGTCACGTGACAGGAATTATCAACGTGTTATCAGGACGTTTCTGTAAAAACCTGTCGTACAAGTTTCATCAGAACTCTGTATAGTATAACTATACTTGTATAGTATAAATTACCTTTTTAAACACTATACTGTTGTGTTCAAATATTGCTATATGATTCTACTTACATGCTCTCAGCAAGAAAGTCTGACTTTACAACTGAGTAATCCCCAATAGTTACTGTCTTTGTGAAGGCGAAATATCCAATTATTGGAAAGATGATCGGCACACCTGCAACGAGTAACGGGTAAAATGTTATAATCCAAATATTTTTGTTACCATCTTGTGTCACGTGTATACCTCTCTATGATTGGCTAATTTATTTCACGTGACCAGAATACAGTTCTCTGATTGGCTAATTTATGTCACGTGACAACAACAACACCTCCCTATGATTGGCTACTCACCCCAGCAGAGCAAGTTGAACTTGAGCATGTATTTGGAGATGTGAGAACCGAACACCTGGACCAGAGACAGGTACATGAGGATCCCCTCCACCACCATCCACAGGAACACCACCAGCCAGAGGTAGTGTTGGATAGCCGCGTACACTATGCACCCCGCACTGCCCTGGAGAGTGAGACGTGGTGATTAATGTAATTACCATGGTTACAACATATTGTTACCATGGTTACAACATATTGTTACCATGGTTACAACATATTGTCACCATGGTTACAACATATTGTTACCATGGTTAGAGAAGTGATGATTGTAACTTGTAAGTTTTAAGAATAAATATGAATAATGTAGTTTGATAATTCATATAATCATGAATCAAAATAATTCAACGGGTAAAAAAAGTTTTGTTTGCAATTATTTGAACTATTTTTAAAATAAAAGTTTTTTGTTAAAAAGTTTGAAAATTTTCATCTTAATTCATTTTTTTAATTTTTACATTTTTAATTGTTTAACTCACCGGTTTGATGGCTCCGCTGTCATCAGACTTTACCAAGGCATTCTGTAGAAGAAAGAGAAAACTAGCCAGGAGCAAGGAGAATGAGAAGCAAATGTTGATCTTTGTTGACCTCTGTTAATAAGGATACTGTTAGTTAATTATGTAATTAATTAATTCATAATTCAAGATATTCCAAATCTGGGTAAAAACTCCAGTTTGAATCGGAACACCCACCTGTTAAAAAACAATCAGTAACTAATCAATTAAATTAATTAATTAATTGATTAATTAAATCACCTGTTTTCTGATTGGGGCGGCAGAGGCCAGACAGACTATGGTAAGTGAGAGACAAATCATGGACAAAGAGAGGATTATCGTGGACATCAGGGTCTGGGACTTTATAAAACCCGGGTCTATCGGGTACGGAGACTGAAATTAGGATGGTTAGCTTTTTGGGGGAAACCGTAAATTATATATTGTCTCAAACATTTTTCACTCAGTATTCAGTTCCACTGTAACTTCAATTAAAATTAACTCTAGTTTATAACTCTCTTACCATCAACACAGCAAAGCTAGTGTTGTGCTGACAAATACACAGCACCTTGCTATCTCCCTCGTTCTTATCATACACCGTCTCACAGTCCGCTACCCAAGTCTCCGTGTGGGTGTTAAAGGAGTGGCACGTGTTCTTCAGCTGGGCTTTCCGTCCGTCCGGGAATGTTTTGATGCTGGTGTTCCTGCCTCCCTGTGTGTGAGATGTTTGTTATGAATTGTAGAATTTGGAAAACGTTCAGATTACTTTTAAACTTTTTAAGTTATCTGAAAGTTTTTAAAAATCTACACTTTAGTTTTCCAAAATATATATTATATAGTAAGATAGTACATATAAACTACTTGTAGTATTACAGTAATAGTGCATGAACTGACCACATTAGCAAGAGGCTTCATGTAAAGTCCCAGCTTATAAGGCTTATCTTTATCCCCCACCGCGGACACCTCCACCACCAGAGAATTAACCAGTTTAGCCTTGTTCTCATCATCAGTATCTAGCGTAAAGTCATCTTTCATCTGATCTGGGTCGGGTGTGGAGTCGGTGTTGGGGAAGAGGTTGGATTCTTGGAATATTAGGACTGCTACGTCCTTTGCTAGGTCCCCTTCGTCTTCAGCTGACACCTGGATAATTATATGTAAATGTATGACACAACCTGACAACCAATAAATACCTCAAAAATATCAAGTTTAATAATAACTTAGATAAATGATTAATTATATAACAGTTAATTAAATAACAATTAATTGAATAACTAACCATTAGTAAAGGTTCTTCACCACTTGTTTCCACCTTTAAATTGCTCAGGCCCTTCAGTTCACTTTTGGGTAAAGAGAACTTGGTAGTTCCACCACCCTCTGAAACCTTTGCTCCTCCTGTCACCTGGTGAAATTGGGAATTAGAATACAGCTCTCTTATTGGTTAGTTTGTGTCGCGTGACTTACGTAAATATTACACATGTTTTACGTATTTCTCACATAATTATAACTCATATTTTCGCATATTTTCTACTAACGTATTACAAATATTACGCATATTTCGTACATACCTTCATTACAGCGATATGAGTGGAAGTGGCCAGGCTATTAGCGTCTTTTGTGTTACTCGTCACCTTTGTCAGACTTTCAACAACTCTGAAGAATTGACTATAAGACATTTACTTTAAAACAGTATAACTTTGCAGAGTATCCCATCGCACGAACATAATTTCAATCTAAAAAATTTGGAGTCTTTTGTTTGATCAGGTATTCTTTCTTTACAAGGCTTAAGTTTTATGTCAGTGGATAGTTAGGAAATAGTGAACACATGAACGTATCAATGAAACTATTGCTGGAATGAAGTCAAAATGCCTGTTTTACATAAATCTTACAAATTTCTTGTATAATTATAACGCATATTTTACATATTTTACATAATTATTACGCATATTTAGCATATTTTCTACATACCTGTTCAAGACATTGGACCTCTGGTTGTTGTCGGTGGTCAGATCTCCCTCCACGATGTTGGAGACTCCCCCGATCAAGTTACTCAGTACCTCGTCGTTTACCTGTTAGAAGTGAGGTAGAGTGTGCAGTACCAATCATATTAATGCTTTTCAAACAAAGTTACAACGAATTCTTCTTTATAAGTTTTCAGAAACTACTTAAAAACGCGATTTCTAACACGTGGCAGTGATTTAATGGATTTTAATCGGTTAATACTGGATGCTGATTGGTTAATGAAAATCACGAGTCAGAAACCAATGAGGCTCACCTCCCACCAGAAACAGATTTACAGGGTTATTCAAAAATAATGTTGGGATTTTAAGAATTAATAAAAAATCAAGTATATGAAGCTGACCTCGTCTTGTGCCTGATCTGATATAGAGTCTATGATCTCAGCAGCCTGTTCTAGGTCACCCAGTCCGTTGGAGTTGAGACTGTCTTCTGACAATTTTTTGAATGCTGCCGACAATTCTTTGTTTTTGTCTCCCTGAAAAATATTGAGTTGATAATAAAATTGAGTTATACTTCAACTGAAGAGAATTGTCCGGAGAAGCTTTCCAAACATATGAGTTACTCATTTTGCAAGATTTATAAAATTCTAAAGAATTGCACCTGCTTGTTTAGTTCCGCATACGCATTCGTCACCCTTGTTTTACTACAGTTATAAAACGGCGTAAATCCCAACTTCCCACCCTCCAGCTCCACGCAAGTGAACACAGCCTTCAGATCGCATACGACTGCAGGGTCAGGATTCGTGCAGTCGAACTCGCAATTAAACGCCTTCTCCTCACCTAGTAAAAGGAATAAATTCAAACAATATACACATAATATAACAATAACCCTATATAAAAATTCTATATAAAAATTCAATAAACATCTTAGAAAATTTCATTTCTTCTCACCTAGTTGAGCATGTCCGAGGTCGTAGGTTCCGTAAGCGGAGATGGTGTCGGAGGTGGTGACACACGCCTCCCCCGTATCCACTGAAACAAGTGGGGGTTAGCAACAGTTGTCAGGGGGTTGTCGAGGCAGTTGTCGTGGAAACGGTTGTCAGGGGGTTAGAGTAAGCTTCAAGAACTGAACTTGTCGTATTATGGTATTGATTTCTGAACCTGACTACCAAATTGCACAAACTCCAACTTAAATAAATAGATGAATATAATAAATGCATATATATATAATTATATATACAATCAAATATAAATCACTGATCAGTCAAAATGAAACTCTTACAGAAGATACTCTAAATCCTTACTGAGGCATTTGTTGAACTCGTCCACGGGTAGTTTTTTATCATTTTCTTTCATATCTTCATTTGCTATCATATCCTGGTAAGTCTGTCCTAGACAGTCAGTGCAGGTCTCAGAGCCAGCTGATGAGTGCTTGTGTTTTTCACATCCTTTGCAGACTGGTGCTCCAACTGTGGAGGAGAGGGTTTTTAGGTAATATGTGTTATAATTATGTGAGTAATATGTGCAATATGAGTAATTTGAGTAATAATAATATGTGCAATATGTGCAATATGTGAGCAAACTTCTGCACAAACTGTGGTAGATAGAGTTTAATATTTAACATTGAATCTCACAATTGTGGTGCTTTAACCGGAGGTTTACAGCAATATATTGCTAATCCCAAACTTGGGTCAGATAACCTAAAAACACACTTAAACATACCAACTACCAATCGTGCCTAGTTACCATGGTTACATCTTCATCCTAAAATACACTTACCACTAGAATACTGGTTAACAAGACAGTCGGTACAAGTCTCATCAGCAGTTAACCCCTCCCTGAACTTCCCTCCTGGACACGACCTGCACACTACAGTTGAGCAGGTTAATAACTGGGTTGGAGTAGTTGGGTTTTCAGCACTGCAGCCCGCTGTCTCGAATTCCTTTCCCTGGGATTAGTAAACAGGAATTAAACAGGAATTAAACATGAAATGACCAAGGAGAACACTAACGAACTCGTTTTGGTAATACAGCAATTCATAAAGACTATCAGAACTCTAAAAACCGAGAGTATATTGGTATATTGGTATATTAATATATTGGTTGGCTTTCCAAATTTTTTTTCGCAGTAAGTTTTTAATTTATTAGTTTATTGGTTAAGTTTCGAGTTTTAGTCTATATAGATTAACTAATTAACTAATTAACTTACAGCAGGACAATCCATGCAGCCGTTCTTGTCGCCGTTAGCTACTTGATAGTTGAGGCATACTTGACAGCCCGGCTCGGTCTTGTGATCAAATTTAACAGTGTAGAAGATGTTTTTGGATGAGTTGTCACAGGGAGTGCATGTTGTTTTACCCCGTTCGTGGTTTCTTTCTCCTGTAGGAGCAAACAATTTACCTTAAATATGCAATATAGGCGAATATTTTGCGTTTTTCTATTATTTTTAGTGTCAAAGCTTTACATGATGAATTCTCTCAAAGTTATAGGAAAAAGGCTAATTTGAATAATGTGTTTGTAACGATCACGCTGAAATTAACCACCAAATAATTACAATCACATTTTTTAATTAGTTAAATAATTACAATCACCTTTTCCCACACTAATCCATTTTAAAACTCACCATCATTGCACACTTGGCAGTCCTGCCCAGATTCTGAATGTTTTCCTGTTCCAGGGTTATAGTATCCTTTTTCACACGGGAACTTATCTGGAAAAGTACTGATATTAAACATCTATTATATTATTATAAGATAATACAGATGAAAACGTAATTTTATATAATTCCAAACTAGTTAAGCTGATACAGCGATGTAAAAATCCCAAAGATTATCAATAAACTATAATAACGAAGCCTTGACAAAAAATGGATACAATAAATCAGTTTATGAAGAAAAAAACAGTAAATACTTCAATTAATAGAACCAATAAGGAGTAAATATTTACCCCACGCGTTTCCACCGATGACGATCTCAGCAAGTTTCGAGGGGTTCGCACTACCTTTAACGTACACTTTATTAGCTGCTGTGTTGGGGGGACAGGAGTAGTCTCTTGAACCTGTGGAATCTGGCAGTTTCGCCTCGCAAGGGATTCTCTCAGCAGGCTGGTTGGATTGTGCGGATGTACTGGCACCGGTTGGGAACTCAACTTCTACCTGAGGTTAAAAGGATGGTTCATTTCTCGGTTAGTGCTGGTACCGGTTGGGAACTCAACTTCTACCTGAGGTTAAAAGAATGTTTCATTTCTCGGTTAGTGCAGGTACCGATTATAAAGTTATCTAAGATTATCAGGGTATTTGACGCCCATTCAGTAAGTGACAACCAAGGCATTAAAACAAACAAAAAACAATAGCTCAGCTAGGAAAAATAGCGTTTTTAGGATTCCTTACCGTCCATCCGTCCATGTCGGCCGTGTCATCCTTAGCGTACAATATGACCTTGTAAACCCCCCACCTAACTACCGCGATAGAGTCATCTTTTGTCGCGAGCGTGATTATGAACTCACTTGCTGACACTAAAAGGGATATTGTATAACTCATGTAATCTAAATCTTTCTAATTTCTAATTCTATTCATGCAATTCTCTGTTTTTTATCAGTCTCATTATTTTAAAGGAATTAGGTTGCCCATGCTTATTAGGTGTGCTTTGTGGTCGGATAAGGATTATCAAACGGTTACTCAATTTGTAATCAACATCTTGGTTTGAATTAAGATTCAGGTACATGTTTGTTATTAGAATAGTAACCTTCTTCAGCTAGACTTAGGTCGTTTAGTTTGGTATAAATGGTAACGCCACTTTGGTCCACGATACTGGTTCCAGTGCCGCCTTCAAGTCCATTCTTCGGAGAAAGGTTCTCAAATCCCTCCAAATCTGGGTAGGTCGGTCAAATTTTGATGACAGAAACCTACACCTTATAATAAACACGGAAATTGAACCTCAAAATTTATTTTTATTCTATACAGCCAGGGTAGTAGTTTCTAGATCTCCCTGTCCCGTTACCATGGCCTGGTAACAGTGTAGTTACCATGGAGATAGTGTGAATTCCACTATCTCCCTGTCCCACTGCCCCTGTTCCAACCCACTACCCGAATTGCCTATTAAAAGGATACGACACCACTCTCACTCCTCTGTAGTCTTCTTTTTGCAGCGGACTGGGAAATGAGAGTTAGAGTAAAATATATGTTATCAACTCACGCTAACATGAGCTGATATATGGGAACTAATTTACTAATAAACACGGAAATTGAACCTCAAAATTTATTTTCATTCTATACAGCCAGGGTAGAGTAAAATATATGTTATCAACTTCGATAACATAAGCTGATATATGGGAACTAATTTATAAATCTAGTTCGGATCCGAGTAGGAGATTATTCTCGCACAAGATTATTCTCAATTTTCTTGTTTTGTTCCACAACTTAGTCTCGAATACTATATTCCTCCCTTTTCCCTTTCCTTTCCCCTTCCCTCATTAGTTTTTTTCAAAGGATACATTTAGTTTCTGCTGTTCTTCGTCTGGACATTTATTTCTCTCTAAGGAGAAGTATTAGTGTTATCAACAAAGTGAGCACACGGATAAAATTGAGATTGACTAATTAAATTAAAGTTCAGTCCTAAAACATGGCACTGTGTTGTCTACCTGCTGTCAACCTGCGCATCACACTGCTGCACGATTGTACAACTGGGCACGGACAAATTTGTTTAACTATGTCAAACCATATAAAAAATCATTCAATATCAAAAATCTTAAACAAAATTTAAAAATTAATAGGAGAAAAAATTAGTTGGTTACTTGGAACAACATCTCTTCGAATAGAAGCACCGCAAACGAACTGGCTAAGAGAGAACTGAGCATCAGCAGAGCGAGCTACAGATTATATAGCACCTGCTCCTAATCTTAATACGTATGATGCAACTCTAATAGTACAGCTCTCGTTATCTCAGCCTCCCGCCCTGGGTACAGCAGCTGGGCGGTGGAGATAGTGGAAGAGGCGTAGCCCCGCCTCTTGCACGAAGGAGCGGCGCGGCGCTGGGGGTTGTGTAAGAGGCTGAGTGGTGGTTATGAACGCCTCCTGTGATTATCACAGGGTATCCTGCGAAGGCTTAGCGAGAGCTTCAAGTAAGTGAGTAGGCTGTGGAAGAGGGGGAAGTTACCAAAAGGAAAAGGGTCGGTGCCGCATCTATTTATAGAATCCTTTATCTTGAAAGCAGCTCACTGGTTACCCAAGGGAAAAGCTAGAGCTTTTGCGTTTTACGGCTAACGTATATAACGGGATAAGAGGATAATCCCACTGTTGTTAGCCGTGCTGAGAGTCCACACTGCTCTCCCTCATTGTGTGGACTAGGGACCCGGACCTACACTAGCTTCTATACCCTGGGTTATACGTGCAGGGCCTGGATCAGGCTTCTTAATGTTGTTGTTTAAATGCATGAGCAATGAGCATTGAGCATTGAGCATGAGATGGCGCCTTGAATCCACGGGCTGCACAGCTGTACGTGGGTAATGACAATATTATTCCGACAGCTTTACAATCTGCAGATGGTCGAAATGTTTGTCATTACTCGCTTGTAATCTCTATTACAAATCTGCGGTAGATCTCTACTACAATGGCTCCCTCACTGGCAGGGAGGGAGGGAGACAGGGGGACCATTGAAATATGGTCATTATCCACCGTACCAAAAAATTGTCAAATATTAGCAGAAAATACAGTAATTTCTATATTAATATCAGTAAAGCTGTGATATGCATAAAAAACAAATCATCACCTCAATCTTCATCTCTGTGACAGTTAAGCAGTTAAGTTGAACAAAAATACGATCGTATTCTGATGTTGTGGACAAACGGTGAGAAAATCCACTAACTTTACAGTTGAGCAGCTGACGTGGATTGCGGAGAAGTGTGCCGGGAATGGTTGGGGATGATAAACACCCGGACTAATTTACAATGAGCTAGAAAATGGAAAACAACACGCCTGAAGATCTGTCGCAACGTGCTACTTGAGCTGGCAGGTGTCTGCCTAAACTCTTTATAACAAAAAGGGACCACGCTAAGAAAATTGTCAGCACTAATTTAAATGACCAATAGTAAGTGAGCTATAAATGAGACTTAATATTAATAAAGCACACTGACTTGCACTACTATTATAACGCTGTTGCATCATGTAACATGTTGGAAGAGTAAAGTTTAAGATCTATCAAATGGTTGGTTTTGCTTTTTAGTTAAGGACTGTCTGAAGATACGAATGTGCACTGTAGGTTGTAGAGTTGTGTAATGCTGAACTATAGATTGTTAGAACTTTCACTTCAACTTATCTACAGCTACTTACACTTCCACTTCCACTTTCAATGCATATTTGCTTAAAAAAACGAAATGACTTCGTTTGACTCAGACTTGACTTTATGCGTGAGTTAACAAAATGTCCATGACTAAAATTAAATCAGTAACGATAATCTACTATTATTAATAGCAGTTTTCAAGTTGGTACCAACTTGAAAATTATTGATCAAACTCCTTATCTGATGAAGATTTAAAAGAAACTACCGGAGTGACTTAAAGTATTATTTCATATGCTGTCTCGTTTCGTTTACTTTTCCAAACCTAGCTGGCAATTAAGCGTATCATTTTGACTCATATCACTTCTTATACCATCCTCCACCATTCACTCTGATTTCACCGGCGACCTTCCCCAGGGTTGCCACACCCCAGAGGTAGGCAGAGCATCTCAATGCTATCCTCTCGTGGGCTATCTTGGCCCAGCCTCTCTTTAAGCGGTGATGGCACTGATGCGGGCTGTCCAGCGACTTGGCTACAAGGAGCAGTACGAGCGAGTTACGACGGATCCCACTACTGGTCAGAAAACCTACACTCCTACCCGGATCTGGATACGCAGACTGTTGATCCTCGCCTACATTCCTACAGCGGATGTCCCAGACGCCTTCTTCAGTATCCTGGACCAGATGCCACCGACCTTGGACATCGACGACCTCCTCGCCTACTTCCAGACGACATGGATCCAGGGACTCACCACCTCCTCTGGTACTGGACGAGCCAAGTTCCGACCACTCTCCTGGAACGCTTACGATCGGACCCACTTCCACACGAACAGAACGAATAACTTCGTGGAGACCTGGAACAAGAAGTTCTCCGCTATCCTTGGACACTCCAACCCCACCATCTACAACTTCATCACAGCACTTCAGATGGAGCAGAGTTCAACAGATGGGAATCACGCAGCCTACCTGGTCGGAGAGAACCCACCGAAGAGGAAGAAAGCTCACAGCGACTGGCGACAAGGACAGGAGGATTCACCGCATCGTGCAGAACTACCACTCTTACGAAGATGATGCCTTGATTTACCTGGATCTTCTCAGAAGTGTTATGTGAACTATTGATTGCTCTAACTTCTTGATAATGATTTGTGGGATTCAGATATTATTGCTATTGAGTTATACTTATATAAACTTTTTGATTTTCAACAACTCAATATTTTTTCCCGATCCATGACTCAAAGTGCCGGAGGCACAAAAGAGTCAAGGACAAGGGTTAGCGAACGAGGTTTTTTTTTGTATATGGTAGCTTTGCGACCGTACCTGCGAGCGACCGTACCTGCCTACACACACTGTAATCGCCCACGTGACTACCTGCGCAAAGTTATTTTGCGGAATAATCCAAATTAGCTAATTGTTGGCGCGCGGCGCTGAACTGACCAAGTACATTGTTAATTTCACCATGTACATATCCCACTAGGCACTAATTGATAGCATACTATTATTATTTTGAGTTACTTATACTATTTTGCACACATCCGTGTCGGGTGTCAGGTTGCATAAACAATAAGCATATGGTTTTTAAAAATATACACGATTTTCAAATTCAATATGGAATTATATTAACTTGGTGGCGCTCGGCCTGTCACTTCGCCATATCTGCATACTTATAAACAGTAAAAACTGGGGTCCCCAGGTTGTATAGAAAATGATAAAATACGCCATCACGGATCGGGAAATTGAGCGGCCATGCACAAAAAAAAAGCGGCCGCATTTCTTGTTGATTTACATTGTCTGCCTAGCCCTGAATAAAAAAAATGAACTACTAAACTAACAAGAATTATACAAAATGATAAAGAGAAAAGAAAAAATAAAACTTATAATACGAATCTAGAACAAAACTTAAAAACAAGTTGAATGTGCAAGTTCTGTCTTAGGTACAATTTCTAGTAGTAGTAGTAGTGCCGCAGTACTGTCCAAAGTAATGGGTGTCATGTGATCCGCCGTTCCGTCCAACCTTTTTGGAAAGTACCGCCGTACCGGCCTGCGCTGTACCGTCCTCCGCCGGACTGTACACCGCCGCAGTGACTTCCGCCACAGTGACCGGTTCCCGTACGAAGCTAAGCCGCACGCATTTCCTTGCTCCCAGACCGATAACAAGCAAAATACATATCATAAATTCTAATATATTGGATTTGGAAACACTGCGCAGAATGGATGTCTTAAATCATAATTTTGTCGTCACTTATAATCTATTGACTTCAAAGTTAAATTTTAATTAAGTATGTATAGATAGGTGGTCTGCATGGTGGTAGGCAGGTATACTGAGTTAGTGTTACCAAGTATAAATATAATTACTGTATACTGTGTATAGAGAGGCATATTATAACGAGCAAATAGTGTTAGAAAGCAAGCGTGTAGACTGTAGATCCTAATATCTGCCGGCCGCACGATAACCCTGGTTATCTGGGGTCCCTAGTGTGTAGATCCTAATATCTGCCGGCCGCACGATAACCCTGGTTATCTGGGGTCCCTAGTGTGTAGATCCTAATATCTGCCCGCACGATAACCCTGGTTATCTGGGGTCCCTAGTGTGTAGATCCTAATATCTGCCCGCACGATAACCCTGGTTATCTGGGGTCCCTAGCGTGTAGATCCTAATATCTACCCGCACGATAACCCTGGTTATCTGGGGTCCCTAGCGTGTAGATCCTAATATCTCCCCGCACGATAACCCTGGTTATCTGGGGTCCCTAGCGTGTAGATCCTAATATCTGCCCGCACGATAACCCTGGTTATCTGGGGTCCCTAGCGTGTAGATCCTAATATCTGCCCGCACGATAACCCTGGTTATCTGGGGTCCCTAGTGTGTAGATCCTAATATCTGCCCGCACGATAACCCTGGTTATCTGGGGTCCCTAGTGTGTAGATCCTAATATCTGCCCGCACGATAACCCTGGTTATCTGGGGTCCCTAGCGTGTAGATCCTAATATCTACCCGCACGATAACCCTGGTTATCTGGGGTACCTAGCGTGTAGATCCTAATATCTCCCCGCACGATAACCCTGGTTAACTGGGGTACCTAGCGTGTAGATCCTAATATCTGCCCGCACGATAACCCTGGTTATCTGGGGTCCCTAGCGTGTAGATCCTAATATCTGCCCGCACGATAACCCTGGTTATCTGGGGTCCCTAGTGTGTAGATCCTAATATCTGCCCGCACGATAACCCTGGTTATCTGGGGTCCCTAGTGTGTAGATCCTAATA